GAACCAGAAGCAGAGAAGGAACTGAAGAAAAATCCCTTTCCACATCACTGCCAGCTGCCCTCTCCCCCTCCCCACAACCCTGGGACAGCACAGTCTCTGCCAATCAGTTCCCTAAACCTCTCCCCCCACATTTACCCACCCACTCCATCCTAATTCATTAACATGCAATACTTTTCTTATTTCCATTTTATTATATTAGTCTTTTTTATTTCTTTCATTTTATTCTTTGAGATTGTGTTTCTTTCAGTTTCTCTTTAGTGGCTGACTTCCTTCATTTCACCACAAGCCCCATCCTCCCATGCCTCCCAGCTACATGTTCCTGCTTCTTCAACCCAGGTCTTCCACTCCACCCCCACCTAAAGCAGGTGTCTTAGTGGCAAGTCACAGGTGTGGAGGTCAGAGGTAGCAGTAATGTGCGACTGCTCAAATCCTGTTATTGGTCTATTAAAGAATAGCCTGATATTGTGTATGGAAATGTAGAAAGTCTAAGTATCTGTATAGGATTGCATGCCCTTAGAAAAATCAAGGAGAAGATCCCCAAGGAATCAATTTCTAAGCACTTGGAAGAAAAGAAGGTGATTAGGAAGAGTCAGCATAGATTCACCAAGAGCAAGTCATGTCTGACCAACCTGGTTGCCTTCTATGATCAGATGACTGGCTCTGTGGATGCAGGAGAGTAGTGGGTGTGATATACCTTGATTTTAGCAAGGCTTTTGATATAGTCTCTAACAACATTCTTGTAAGCAAGCTAAGAAAGTTCAGGTTGGATTAATGAACTGTAAGGTGGATAAAAAATTGGCTGGACTATCAGGCTCAAAGGGTAGGACTATCACGCTCAAAGGGTAGTAATCAGGGATCCTGGTTTTCTCTGACAAAAAAATTCCCAATTTTTGGATTAAAAAAGCAATACAAAAATCCACATTTTTCCATGATCAAAATGAAATGCCGCTGTGTGTGTGTGTGTGTGTGTGTGTGTGTGTGTGTGTGTGTGTGTATATATCTGTCTCTCTGTATATAGATATATAGATAGTTATATATATATATACATATCTCTCATATAGATATATAGAGAGAGCATATAGATATATACAGAGAGAGATAGAGATATCTATCTATAGATAGATAGATATATTAGTGATTCTTCAATGTAATCATGGAAAAAGATGGATTTGGGGTTACTTTTTTAAATCCAAAAATTGCAGGGAGTAGGGGGGGAGGTTATCAGAGAAAACCAGGATCCCTGGTAGTAATCAATGGCTCAATGTCTAGCTGGCAGCTGGTATCAAGTGGAATGCCCCAGAGGTCTGTTCTAGGTCTGGTTTTATTCAATATCTTCATCAAAGATCTGGAAGATGGAATAGAATACCCCCTCAGTGGGTCTGCAGATGACACAAACTTGGGAGGCTGATAGATATGCTTGAGGGTTGAGCTGGGATTCAGAGAGACCTAGACATATTAGAGGATTGGACCAAAAGAAATCTCATGAGGTTCAATAAGGCCACGTAAAAAGTCCTGCACTTAGGACAGAGCAACACCATGCATTGGTAGAAGCTGGGAAGCAACTGGCTAAGCAGCTACTCTACAGAAAAGCACAGGGGGTTACAGTGGACAGTAATCTAAATATGAGCCAGCAGTGTGCCCTTGTTGTTAAGAAGATTAACAGCATACTGGGCTGCATTAGTAGGAATGTTGCCAGCAGATGGAGGGAAATGACTATTCCTCTTTATTGGCACTGGTGAGGCCACATCTGGAGTACAGTGTCCAGTTTTGGGCCCCCCACTGCAGGAAGGCTGTAGACAAATTGGAGAGAGTCCAGTGGGGTGGGAGGGAGGCAATTAAAAATGGTTAAGGGGCTGGGACATATGACTTTGAGCAGAAGCTGAGGGAACTGGGCTTATTTAGTCTAAAGAAGAGTAGACTCACCCAGGATTTAATAGCAGCCTTCATTTACCCAACCTGGCATTCCAAAGAGGATGGAGTGAGACTGTTCTTCGTACTAGCAGGTGAAAGAACAAAGAGACATGCTCTCAAGTTCAAGCAATGGAAGTTTAGGCTAGATACTAAAAGAAACTTCCTCATGAGGAGGATAGTAAAGGACTGGAACAGGTTCCCCGGATGGATTGTGGAATTTCTATCCTTGGAGATTTTTAAGACCCAGATAGACAAAGTCTTGGCTGGGATGATCTAGTTGGGGGTGGTTTATTTTGAGTAAGGGATTGGACTAGATGACCTCTTGAGGTCCCTTCCGACCCTAATTTTCTATGATTTCTATTATTTTTATTTTGTCATTTGAAGACAGTATGTCAGAACTTTTCAAAATGTAAGGTAACAACAGCTTCCAGCTCAAGTAATACAATGTAATAATTTATTGCATATTCGGTCATTTACATGTATTAGTTTGTTTTATGTTCACCAAAAGAATTGTATATTATAAAAAGTAAATTTTAATTCATGGCAACCTTTTTAGATTGACTTTCTTTTGCGGGGGAGGTAAAAGGGTAAAAGATTTTGTTTCATATTAACTGGTCATACCTAGTTCATTCATCCTTTCAGCATCCACTCTTTACCAGCGTATAACACAGGATACCGGGCAGGATACCTATCGTCTGACCCAGTAAATGTTAATTCTTATGTTCTTATGATTCATTGTGAAAGAATATCTGCACATAAATGTGTACATTGGCGGTACCCTGGTAAACCAAATGTTTCTTTTGCTATGGCTACATTTTTTTAGAATAATGGACTCCAGAGGGAGATTCTATAATTAAAATTTGAATTTTGAAAGTGAAAAGTGAATTTCATTGTGTCTAACCCAGTTATAAAAATATATATTTTCCTAATTTAAATAATGATTTGTAGAAGTCAGTCTTCTATTTTCAATTGTAAAAAATTGATATAATATTGTAAACATGAATAAATTTGACTAGTATCATTTTGAAAAATATTTCAGACTTTTTTTGTATTTCAGACTTTTTTTTTGCCTGCAGAATTATGGATTTGAATATCCCCGCAATTAGAAACACTTCAACTGGATATAAGCTTGATTTTGATCTAGTTTGATTTTTTATTCACATTTAGCTATCTACTGTAAAGCAATTTCAAAGAAGTTGTATTGATCAGAGGTGCTAATGGAAAATTAGGAGCAGCTAGTGTATTTTACTTGGACTCTTTGGTTGCACCCAGACAAGCACGAACATTTGGTTCCCTTTGTGTCACTGCTAGTTGCCCTCGGTGAACACACATGCCACATGCCCTCTGGTGCGTGGCAGTTTACCCTGGGTGGGGTAGGGGAGACTGGGCCAGCAACCGTGCTGGTCCCAGCAGCCTTACTTGGGGTCCTGGGGGCCAGAGAAGCTGCAACCATGTCGTTCCTGCAGCTGGGAGCCTGGCCAGCTGCTGAAGTGTGGCTCTGGCCAACCAGGCTCCAGTTTTGGGCAGCGGGTCCTGCTTCCACATGCGCCCCCCTGCTTTTTTTTTTTTTTTGGCAAGCTTTTGTGACACTGGGATATCCTGGGGTCAACCCCGTCTTCCCCTGTGCTGCAAGGTAGCAGTGCAGGAAATGCCTGAACGTGTGGTGTGTGGCAGGTCTGCGTTGCTACATATCGCATGGCCACGGTTGTCTGGACATGGCACTTTTGCTCATGTAAATGCTAAGCCATACATTTTATTTGATCTACGTATTTCCATGTTTTTTTTCCTTTTTTAATATTACCAATTAAACTTTTTTTCCAATCTTTATTCATGGAAGATATAGACAATGGCCAAAATGAAAAAGGGAGACTAATCTGAAAGGAAAATGTAAATTCTTTCTTCATAAAACAATTCTTCCTGCCCTCTAGCCATTTCTGTGTCTATTTATTAATATTGTTTTCTTTAACAGCTACAGAAATTTCACTTTTCAATTAAAAATCCCACTTAATTTAAATAAAATATTTCAATGAATACTCTGCTACAAAGCAAATATTTTCTTCTGCGCAGATTGACCTATACAGAGTGATTTTTTTTTTCCTGAAAAAACTGTTGTTTTGTTTTTCTTCTTAAAAAATCAAATTTTATGTAGTGCCACACAGGACTTTATTTGGTTGCCTCATGTCCCTATTCTCCTGGCTGAGCCATAATGCACCAGATGAAAGACGAAAAGCTTCTAGATGACAGAATGATCCCATGCTGCATCAAAAGGGGAAAATGCTGTGCATTATAGGATATGTTAACTGACACAGAGGGGGTTTCATTAAGAAGAATAGAACTCTCATAAAACACTGCGCTGCCATTTCTCAATAAAAATGCTTACACATTTGATTTTTCTCTCTAAAGTTTAATTTCTCCCATTTTGAACAAACTTTACTTTGTTATATTCAGAAAATGGAGAGATGTGACTAGAAGAATATCTGTAGATACCTTGCAGTAGTACTCTATATTGCAATCCTGCAATGAACTCTGAAGCCTACCCCTCCCCAACTTTGGGGGATCTCCATGTGGAAGTAGATGTTTGTCAGTGCTGAATACACTGTGACCAGTGGGATCCCCCAAGACTCTGTCCTTGGACCCAT